ATAAAAAATAATAATCTGTGAATAAGGAGGGCCTACTGTATATCTTGACACTTCGGGATCTTGCCTAGTTCCTTCATAGCTGCCATTGCAAGTCAAGGTCTTCTCTTGATTTCCTGACTGCAGCCTCCATTCCAATTAATGACTGAACCAGGGGATGGAAAATCTTGAACTATTTCAATGTATTTATCATCTACTTTAAAGTTATGTAAATAATCCATGGTCATTCTTTTTGTTTTCTTAATGTTTAACTGTAAACTTGTCTTTGCACTTTCTTGCTTGACTTTCTTCAGTAGTCATTTCAAGTCTTTGCTATTTACTTCTAGCAGTATGGTGTTATCTGCATATCTTAAATTGTTGATGTTCCTTCCTCCAATTTCCACCTTCCTCCAGTCTACTCCTGCTTTATTTATAATATTTTCTAGCTTGGATGGAAAACAGAATTCACAGAACCCGAAGTTAGGAGAGGCAGGTGGAATGGGAATCTAGGCAAGAAGAAAACCCAATGAGGCAACTAAGCTGGATCCACAGACAATGAAAAATGCTGCTAAACTCTTAATTTGATTCCATTTACGCCAAGTTTTGCTTTCATAATTCCAAGTCCATCTTTATATCTTTTAAGGATTAGAAACTTGTGCATCTAAGGTTTAATTGAAGCTAAAATTCTCAATACAGTGAAACAAATGCTCAGTGGCACTAATGGTGCTTTCCTACTGAAATCGCACATTGTTGCTTGTTGTAACTAAATTTACACAATTTTAAACTGCATACAAACCATTAACAACTCTGGATTGATATTTCATTATAAGCTTAGGATAATTTATATGTTGAAACGTAGGGATAGACATGATAGCTTAATAAAAAGAAATGAATAAAAAGAAACTAAATATTAAACTTAATACTAAACATTTAAGTACCTGTTTTGATTGGGAAGAAACTAGAAACAGTATATCCACCCAAACTGACAATCTTTTCATATGAGAATGTGGGGTGGGGTGTAATTTTGAAATTTTGTGATTGACAGCTCTAGCTTGTAATCATAGTGAATATTTTCCCCAGGGTTTTGCAATCCCAATACTTTTAAGGAGGGATGTTTAATAAATGATTTTGCTAGACTCATTCAATGTTCCTTGCTTTTTTCTGTTGTCTCCCTCTCCAAATTGTTTGGAGTCTGTGGGATGCAAGAGGGGGATGTAGTATTGTGGTGCTTGCATGGAAAATGCTGACAAATCCATCTGCTTATGTCACTGTGTTAGTCAGTGTAGTAAAGTGTTAGACTTGGAGTCTGGAAGACCAGGGTTCACAT